TTGTGGTACCGGGGATTGAACTTGGGTCCTTGCGCTTGCAAGGCAATCCACCGAACCGCTGAGCTAAATCCCCGGCCCCAGTTTTTTTTTTTTTTTTTAAAGATACAGATTTGCTACATATTCTAGGCTGACCTCCGACTCACTATGGAATCCCAGCTGTGCTCTTCCCGCCTCAGCCTCCCGAGTGCTGGGACTACAGGAGTGTGCCAGCATGCCCGGCTTTTATTTGGTACCTTGTCACTGCCGTGTGGACAGCAGGAGCGATCTGCCAGGCTTTAGACAATGAACACTTTGTACCAGGTCCAGAGCTCGGGCCAGTTGTCCCCAAGGCAGGAGGACACATCACCCGGGGGGCACCTGAGCTCATCCCCAGAGGCAGGGAGAACTGGAGAGACAATGTCTCTGTGACGGGTTTGTCTCCTCCTTAGACCGTACCTGTGAGTGCCCTAATGCACGGAATATACACGGACATCCGCTGCTGCACATCTGTGATTAAAATGGACACAGGACGGAGAATGTGCTCAGCAAGTTTCACTCACAGGGATGCAGATCAGAAAAGTCTGGAGGCTGCAACTTCAGACGGTGGGAACCCTTGAAGATTCCTGACCACTCAGTGCACTGACAAGGATTGAAAATAAATAATGCACTTGGAGCCAGGGAATGACCTTCAAAGGCCGGCTCTGCTGTTTGTCAGTGGTGAGGTCTTGGGCAAACATCTTCCCCTCTCAGGTTCCAACCCAGCACCCCGACTGGGGCGAGGCAGAGGTGCGGTACCGGGTGGGCGCCTGGTCAGGCTTCAGGACAGGGAGCTGGGTGGCCACCGCGAGGTGGGAGAGGCAGTTAAAGCAGGGGTGCAAGGGCCGCAAGTGGCAGAGGACACACAGGTGTGGAGAGCATCCACCAGGGGTCTGGGATGCTGCCGCCACTGCTGGTCAGCCCCGAGGGTCTCCCGGAGCCGCTGTGGCACCATCACAGCTGTGAGCGGGGGTGTGGAGCAAGCAGGCAAAGCCACAGCTCCTGTCGTTGCACCTGGGGCAGGGTGGGTCCCTGAGGAGGTCCTGCCATATGCACTGGGGGGGTCCCAGGTGCTGGCGCCTTCTGGTGAAGGGCTACTGTCTGCTTCTCAAGGGGGAAGGCGACCCAAGGCAGCCTGGCGCATCTCACCCCAGCACCAACCTAAGGGACAGTCAGCCAAACGGGCTGGTGCAGCTTCCCTTGACCTCAGCCCTGGTCTCCCCACTCCTGCACATCCCACAGGAGAAAGCAGCGGAGGGAGCAGCTCAGTCTGCCTTCTTCCCTTCACACAGCCCTGCAAGGCCTGCCTCTGAAGCTGGCCCAGGGTCCCGGGAGAGGGCCAGCTCTGTCCTGGCTGCAGTCCCACCAGGACCCCACACTCACGGAGCATTTGCCAGGGGCCATGCGCAGCTCTGGGCACTTTAGGGGGATGAAATCATTCACCCCTCGCCCTTTCCCAACTGGGCAGGTAGCATATGTACTCAATGTCACTTTGTAGGTCTGTCCTGATATTACTGTTTGCATGATCTTTTTCCATTCTTTTATGCAGTGTATATCTTTATAGTGTAGCCCTTTCTCCTGTGCTTGCTGTCTCTCTCTCTCTCTCTCTCTCTCTCTCTCTCTCTCTCTCTCTCCCCCCTCTCTCTTCCTCTCCCCTCCCTTGAGATAGGGTCTCACTATGCAGCTCAAATTGGCCTCAAATTTGTGGTGATCCTCCTGCCTCATCCTCCTGAGTGCTGGGATTACAGGTGTGCACCACCACACTCAGCTATAGTTGATCTTGTGTGTGTGTGTGTGTGTGTGTGTGTGTTGTACCTATGGGCCCTGATTTTCTCTCTAGTCAATCCTTGTCTTTTGTTTTTTGGTACAGGGATTGAACTCAGGACCTTGTGCATGTGAGGCAGGTGGAATCCTTGTCTTTCAGTGGGAGTGTTTAGCCTATTTACATTTAGTGTTGGAACTGATCTATCTTCTTGCAGTTTCCTATCTTTTCTCTTCTGTCCTTCCTTTCTTGTCTTATTTGCATTGCTTAAAAATATTCTATATTTTATCCTCTATTGCTTTTTGGCTGTGTGTTTTTTTTTTTAACCTCTTTCCCTTTGTTATGTCAAAGATAATAAATGCTTTTTTTTTTTTTTTTTTTTGGTACCAGGGATCAAACTTGGGACCTTGAGCTTGCAAGGCAAGCGACGACACCACTGACCTAAATCCCTGGCCCAATAAATGCATTCTTATCACCATCTGTCTCAAATTTTTTTTTCTTTTTTCTTTTTTTCCAGTACTGGGGATTGAACTCAGGGCCTTGCACTTTGGCACCATTGAGCTACATCCCCAAATTTTAAAACATTTAAATAAATTACATTAAATTAAACTATTTAAATGTTTTATATGTTGTACTTTTGCATTTGTCCTCGTGCACTTCATTGGGACTTAGCTACCTCAGGCAGCAAACATTTCTAGTGACAGCACAGAAGTGTGTGGCCAGGCAGGCCTCTCAGCCTAGCAGTGTCTTGGCAAATTCTTAGCTGTTAATTCCTTTTGCCCTTACAGTGGACCCTTGAGTTACAATAAGCCTGACATACGAACAACTTGGGTTATGACCAGAATCTTCATCTTAACATATGTCCAAAGTCTTGAGTTAAGACCTGAATGCCTGCCACTTGTGCTTCCAGATGGTCTCAGATACAGATTTAACCCTCAAAGAGCTTGGGAAGGAACATTACAACATCCTTTCCTGTGCGAGGTTAACTGAGAAATCCTGGGCCAGCGTCTCTCTGAGGACACGGAGATCTGCCTGTGTGTGGGAGAGAGACTTTGAAGGCTGCGTAGAGGAGCCTGAGCCCTCCTTGACCGACTGGAGTACAACAAGTCAATGGTCTACTGTGTTTGTAGAGGAAGTAGTCAGCAGAGCAGGATGTATTCGTTTAAACTGAGCCATAGGAAGAGATGGGAAGCAGGGGCTTCAGCCTGAATCTCACCCCTACTGTGATGGACCCAGAGGAGGAACAGGAGACTGGAGCTGAGGTGCAGAGCGTGTCAAGTATGGTGGGGACGGAGCACCCAGCACAGGGGCAAGTTGTCTGACCTTTGGACTCCCTGGGTAGACCAGAAGGCTCTGGCCACCTGTACACACAGCAGCCCTGCCGGTGGCCACGTCCAGTCCAGGGAGGGCCACGAGACCACTCTGGAGGACCCCGCAAGGCCTCAGTCTCAGGGGCCTCAGTTCCACTCTTCCAGGGAAAATAGAGCAAGCTATGCTTATAAGTACAGAAATCCAGGCCTGCTCATTTCTTCTCCACTTCAGGGAGGGGGATACTGAGACCCAAGAAGTTAAGCCCCTTTGAGACAAACTCGCTGGTCGTGGAGTGGGGACCTCTGTACCCCTCCCCTGGTATGTGGCAACCTTGGCCAGATCTCCCAAGAGCTGGCCCCCTCGAGCTGGGTGCTTGACCTTAGCACAGCTGCTGCATGCACGGATAGGATGTCCTTTCTCAGCCCCTTCCAGTCCTGGTCACTGAAGGCGAGGCCCATTTGCTGGTCATTTCCAACATGGCTGCCAGGAAGTGGGCTTGAGGCAGGACTGCAGGTGGGCTCAATGAGGGGAAGGGACTGGGCATAAATTTCACTCCTGCTCTCCTGGGCTGAGCACTGCTTAGCTCCTTGTCCGCTCACGAGAATGGCTCCCTTCCTTTCTGGCCCCTCTCACCCTGAGGCATCAGCGAAGGTCTGCAGCCTCTGTAGGAGGCAGGTGGGTAAAGGAGGGGAGAAGTGGCCGTTGACCAGCCATTGATCACGTCAGCGGTTCCTTAGCATCTAGGGGCTTCCACAGCCACCCCTGCTCTGACACACCCTCCTTCTCAGCTACAGAACCTGACACGCAGAGAGGGCTGCATGGATGGGGGTGAGGATATTCCCAAAACTGCTCTGCTGTGGGGTCCTGTAGGGTCCTTTTAGGGGTGGGGGTGTGGCCCTTAATGGTTCACAGACCTGAGCAACAGGCTGGGTCCCAGGAAGCTGATGCAACTTGGGGTGTGCTGGGCTGAAGCACCCTGGCCCCTGCTGCAGCTCTGCACCCCTCCCCACTGGGCTATGCCGGGAATGCAGCTGGCAGGCCTGGCAGGGGAAAGGGCAGCCTGCTTCCCTGGTAGGCGGATGGCCCGCTGCCAGGGTGGGGAGGGGGCCACCTCTTCGTTCCTTTCTCCTCTCAGCGCCCCCCCCCCCCGGCGGGGGCAGGGCTGGGCCCAAGTGGCACAGACGAATCCCTGCCCAGCCCCAGCTCGTGAGCGGCGCTTCCTCCCTGGGGGCCAGGGTGGGGTCAGGGCCACTGCTGAAACCAGGGTCTACCCAAAGCTGGGCACATGGCTGCAGCAGCCCCCCAGGTCGGGGGAGAGTAGGCCCCAAGAATCTGAGCTAGGGTTCCTGTTTCCCACACTCGGGTCTCTGGCCAGCCCGGGCTCTGGCCTCCTGTCCTAAACTTTAGTTGGGGGATGCGGGACTCCGAAAGCCTCATTCTACAAATGAGGGCCGTGTGCTCCACCATGGGTGCCATGACTCAGGGCCAAAGCCAGGCAATCTCAGACCATGGACCCTGGTGTGGGGTCTGGTGCAGCTGTCAGCAGGGATGGAGAGGGGCTCTGGCAGCCATCGGGGGCCCAGCTGGGACAACCTCAAGTCCCCAGGGGCAGTTCTGAGCCACCTGCCTCCTCCACTGGTGACCCAGTGGCCTGGGCAGTGGCAGGGAGCCCAGAGGTGAAGGAACTCCATCCTCCCAGGAGGCAGGTTACCCTGAGGGCCTCTGTTCTGATCCAGGTGCCACTGTCCAGAGTTCACAGGGACTTATCTAAGGGCCCCCAAGGGGTAAAACTCACAGGGCCAATATCAGCACCTTGGCCATGCTCTGGGGACAAGTGGAGCAGCCTGGGGCTGTGATCACAGTTGGGCAGGGGCAGGGCCTGAGGAAGGGGAGCTGCCTTTGGTCTGGAGCCACACCCGCCCAGCAGAGGGATGATTCTAGGTCCCCAGGGGAGAGGAAAGGGGAGGAACAGGGCTGGGCTGCTAATCTAATCTGCCTCTAACCTGCCTCCAAGTGACTTTGGCAAGAGATTTAAACTCTTCCTTGCTAATTAAATCAGGATAAGGATAATCCTCATTTTTTCAAATGCATTTCAAACACTTGGCTCTTTTGTTTGCTCATTTGGATAAAGACTTAGTAAAGAAGCGTTAATCAGTGCTAATTATGCAGTCCAGGGTGATGTGGGCTGGGAAACCGGGAAAGCCCTTCACTTCCCATCTCTCCTTGGGTTCTGAGGAGGCAGGGCCCCAAAGTGGGAAGGGCAAAGGGGGTTCCTGAGGGCAGTGAAGAGAAACTGTGAAGTAGCTGAAAGAGGCTGGTGGTCCATACCTATAATCCCAGCTACTCAGGAGGCTGAGGCAGGAGGATCAAGAGTTGGAGAACAGCCTTGGAAATTTAGCCAGACCCTCTCTCAAAAAATAAAGGGCTGGGGGGCTGGGGATTTAGTTCAGTGGCCCATGACTGCCTCACAAATGTAAGGTCCTGAGTTTGATCCCTGGTACTGGGGAAAGAAAAAAAAAAAAGGGCTGGGGGTATAGTAGTTCAGGGGTTCAATCCCCAGTGCTGAGAGACCGACAGGCAGGCAGGCAGGCAGGCAGGACCAGTATACCCAGAGGCCAGGAGCAGTGTGTGTGGGGGGCACTGACTGGGTTCCGGAAAGCAGGGAGAGCTGTGCAGGGTGAAGAGCTGGATTCTTGTCTCACAAGGCCCTGCCCAGCTAGGTGAAGGAAGAGATGATTTAAAAAAGCGTTCTGGTAAAATTCCACGCAGAGCCGGGTGCTTCTCTCTGCTGCCCTCTCCAATGCGTCAACCCCAGCCCATGCTCCTTTGCTTTTTCTTCCAGCTTCTAGGGTGGGGAGGTACCGGAGGGCTCCTCTGCAGCTCCTGGGCTTCTGTGTCCCCTGGGGGGTGGGGCGGGCGTGGGTTGACCGTGTGGCCAAGGACACAGAGTAGGACTCTTGTAAAAGGAAAGAAAATGGAAGGGAAGGAAAGGACAAAGCTCATCTCTTTGCTACGTTTCCCTGCCAGAGGGGCCCCACCCTCTCTCCTGGGCCAGCCCCTCTCTTCCTCAGCGAGGGGCCCAGCAGGAAGGCGGGCAGCAGGGAGAGAGTGTATGACAGGATTGCCTCAGAGGCTGGAAGGTGAGCCAGGGTCTGTCGCCGGGGGAGTCTGCCTTGGGCAGGGGGCACCCGGACCCCTCAGAGCACAGGTAAAGGTGCAAGAGCCTGGGTGCCTCGGCAGGGGGTGGGAGGTCAGCCAGGCTGGGGCAGTGCTGCTTTCGGTCAGCCTTAGTTCCCAGCTCTTCCCTGCCAGGACAGTTTTTTCCTGCCAGTCTGCCCTGTGGCTGCCACACTGATTTGGCCCTGGTCAGCTCTCTTTTTCTAGTATTTTCTCTCTTCTTTTTTTTGAGACAGGGTCTTGCTAGGTAGCTCAGGCTGGCCTCAAACTCATGGCAATCCTCCTGCCTCAGCCTCCCGAGTGCTGGGATTAAAGGTGTGTGACATCACACTCGGCTTCTTTCTAATCTTCAAGCCCTAAGCCATGGCCACAGCTGCTGGCCCCAGAGACCCCTCTCTGCAGCCCCTTCTAGTACTTTCTACGCACGGCTGCAGTGCCCTCCTGGCCCTGTGCTCCTTCCCAGCGGCTCTTCAACTCCCTTTGACGCCCTTCCTGTTCTGGGGAGAGGTCCCAGCCTCATCTGCTCCCGGGGGCTTCTCACTAAGTGGGTAGCTCCCCTTTCCTCCTGCCACATGCAAGCAAACCCAGCCCCCAAAGGCCCAGAGAAGCCTGGTACTGATGCTAAGACCCCCGTCTTGGCTCCTGGGCATCACGGACATGCCATGTGGGTGATGACCACTTGTGGCCTCATCTGGGGTTGGGCCCTGAACCTGGGCTCCAATGAGCTGGTGGGGCGGCTGTGTGGCCTGGGCAAACCCTTCTCTCACTGGCTCTTGATTCCTTCCTGGTCATTGCATTTACGCAGGGCACAGGGCATGGAGTAACTTTGCAAGCTGGATACCCTGTGGTGTACCCTTTCCAAAGGGTACAGTCCTCCCAGAAGCTGTGGCAATCCCACGTGACAGTGGCTGCTCTGAGTCCTGGGCTCAGGGTCTCAGGAGCCCTGGGCAGAGGGGCCCCTGGCCCTGGCTCATTTCCCCTAGCTGTCTGTGTTCCCGTTCATTTCCTGCATCACCTTGGGTGGTCAAAACCATTTAGGGGGCTGTGGTGAGGGGCTGATGTCCTCTTTGTCTCTGTGCCTCAGGTGTCCACTGTAGGCAGAGGATGCAGAGGCCTGGCATTCTGTTTGTTTGTTTTTTGACACAGGGTCTCACTATGTGGATGAGACTGACCTGGAACTCACTATGTAGCCCAGGCTGGTCTCAAACTCACAGCGATCCTCCTGCCTCAGCCTCCCAAGTGCTGGGATTACAGGCGTGCACCACCACGCCCGCCCTGGCCTGGCATTCTGGATGTGCACATTTGTTTCTATTTCAAGAGGAATGGCATTGACCTTGGATGGCCCTGTCCCCCAAGCTGGAGGGACCCTACCTGGAACCCCCAGCTCCTCCAAGGCTCCCCTCTCAACACACCTGGTCTTCCCCGGCTCTGCTTACCCAGAGCAGGCCGTCAGGTTTCTGCACAGGCGCCGGCTTCCTCCGGACAGAGAGTGGCTACGGCCAGTGATGGCAGGGCCTGCGCAGGCCTGCTGACCTAGTTACTGCCCCCTCCCAAGCTCCGGGAGGCCTCTTCTCTTGGGGGGGGCGGCCCCATGCTAGTTCCCTTGCTTTCCGCCAGCAAGGTGCCACACGGCCTGCCCGGGCCTTGCATCAGAAGTGGGCACCCGTGCCCCTCCTTGGCCTCCCTGGGTGTGCATCATGAACAGAACAGTGCTGGGCCCCATACATCACCCTGCTGCATCTTGGGCCAGTTACCTTGTCCCAGTCCACCACTTGGAGCCTCACTTCCATCTCAGGGTCCATCTTCGGAGTTTCTGCAGCGGCTACAGCCTCATTCTCCACAGGTTCCTGGACAGAAGAGATACAAGGGGGCCGTTTAGAGTGGAGGAGGGAGGAGAACGCAGGCCCAGCCAGGCATGGTGTGGCACACCGGGAATCCCAGCGCTGCAAGGGGCCGAGGCAGGAGAATCACAAGTTCTTGCCCAACCTGGGCAACTAAGCAACTTAGCAAGACCTTTCAAAATCAAAACAAACAGGCTGGAGATGTGGCTCAGTGTGAAGGCCCTGGGTTCAATCCCTAGTACTGAAAGAAAAGAGAGAGAGAGAGAGAGAGAGAGAGAGAGCGCCAAGCTGCCTCTGTGAGGGAGTGGGGAGGGGAAACCCCTGGGTAGGGCCAGGTGGGCGGAAACCAAGGACTCTGAGTCCTTTCGAAGCCTGAGAGACACTGATGTGGGTGGCATTGTTCTTTGTACTTTTCTTTTTCCCTTTTAAAAAAATACTGCAAAAATAAGAGGCTGAAAGATCTGAGAAAGGATGAAAGCCTGCTGGCAGACTGGGGGTGTGAGAGTACAGTGGTGACCGCAGGGAAAAAGCATGTCTTGACTTCCTCCGAGTGTCCGGCAGAGCAAGTCATAGGCTGGCACTGAGGGCACCTGGTGGGCTCCCCGCCTCACTCTAGCCTGTCATTCAACAGATTCCGGGGGCCACCTTGTTCCTGGGAAAGAAAGGAGCAGGGAGCCAAGGGGACCCTGCCGCCCCAAGGCCAGCAGCCAGGGGTGGGGGTGGAATTGGCAGGGGCTGGGCCAAGTGGGCTCAAAGTTATGTGGAACCAGCAGAGAGGCAAAGCCAGAAGGAAATGGAATGCGCTGGGACGGTCCATGACCCTGCTAGCTCTGATGTCACGGGCGAGGCCAGCTGGGGCAGCACCCGAGTTCCCTCTGAGTTCCCACGTGAAAGGAAACCGCGGGAGCCAGCGAGAAGGTTTGAGCAGCCAGTTGGGGTTTCTGCTGTGCAGATTCTTACACTTTTGTTTCCAAGTGAACCCAAGAGATCCTGATGGTGACCGTGACTAAGTCATCTCCTGGGAAAACCCAGATAGAGCCCACATAAAAATGGGCTTTCATGGTCTTGTCTTGGGTCTGTGTATCTCGGTGTACTCAATCTGTGTCATCAAGCCAACCTGTGGATCTTTTAATAAAGCATCTCGATTCTCTTGAGGAGAAGGAAGAGTGGAATTACAACACCATATGTTAATTCCCTAAACGCCGCGCACAAGCGTCTTCCCTCTCCTTATGAGTCAGTAGCTGCAATGCCTGATCTGCCATTTCTATTTCCCCTCAGCACACCCCAGAATGCCCCGTGCCCGGAGCTACTGAGCCGCCTCCCTCCCAGACATCTCTTTTCTTCTGGTCACCCTCAGTGCTTTCTCAGCTGCCCTCACTGCAACCCCATCTTCCTCCCTCCATGGGACGGAAGAGGTCAGGCATATCCTCATCGAGGGCTTTTGCCTGCCTCACACTTCTCAGACCCTAACCTTAGGGTACAGACTCAGACCCGATTTGGGCTGAAGTCTCCTTCTGCTGACTCTTGTCACGGAATCCCTCATGACCCCTGGCCACCTCGAGTTTCTGGCTGTCATCCCTGGTTCTTCCCCTCTGGTTGCATAGGGTCCTTCTCTGTTTCTCTCAGGCCTGTAAATATCTGAGGACAGCCGGTCCTCCCAGCCCCTGCCATCGGCCAGGTACGAAGGGTCCATGGAGAGCCCCAGTAGCACATTTCTGACCACAGGAAATGAGCGAACGTCGGCCTTTTGGCCTCTACCCCATCAGTGCCTTCATGCTGGGTGCCAGAAGCCGTAGATGACCGTTACTGGCAGGGGACGGGGACCACCGTGGTCTGTGAGATGCCGTGGACCAGAAGCCCTGTCCACTGGAGCCGGAACACCAGCATAATGACGAGGAGGAGCCCAGGGACCGGGGAAAATAGGAAGCCCGAGGTACGGCGTCATGGAGGGTGTCTGGTGGGGACAGGCTCTTCAGGGGTGCATCTCAGTGAAGTACTCCTGCCTGCAGTTCTTCCCTTGCCAAGAAACCCCCGTTCCTGCAATCACACACGTGTGTGGGAGCCCAAGCATGCCAGAGGCATCACTAAGATGGAGCATCTCTTGCTCTCCTTGCTCCAGAAGGGTGATTCCAATTTCCCGTGTCAGAGTCTGACCCGGAAACTCCGCTACTACCTCTAACACATTCCCCAAAGTGCCCATAGCACCATCCTCTGCAAACCCGCTTATCTGTGATTTCCCTGTATGTCCAAAGTCTTCACCTATACACCCTTGGACTACTCAATTTCCCTGTAGCCAGAAGAGATACTTTGCCATCTTCTAAACATATCTTACGTTTTCCTTCTTAAACATCACCCGTTTGGATGAGGACAGTGCTTCATGTCTGGCCCTTTAATCTTCCTAACAACTGCACACAGTAGGCAGAATATTATTCTCTTCTTATAGAGGGGCATCCTAACTAAGCACAGAGTGATCCCACAGCTAGTAAGGAGCTGAGCCAACAGTGAGATTCTAGAATATTCTCTTTCCCATCATGCTTTTCTTCCCTAGCCATCCTAGCCAGAGAGGATCTCTTCATTTTCAAATTAAAAAAAAAAAAAATCAGACTTTTATGCATGTAAATGCACACTGTCTCAGTTGGTATTTATAATTTCTTGCCTCTGATTGTTTTAAAATATTTTGGTAATTATCTTGCTTATCTAATGGCATTATAGAGCCAGTACAGCAAGGGCCTGCGATTTGATGTTTCCTGTTTTTTTAGCTGCCTAATCAGCTCTTGTAAACACTAGATGCTCTACCCACATGCCCCAATGGGCCACATTTCAATGCTGGGTCTTTGTAAAGCAGTCAAAGCCAGGCGTGGTGACGCACACCTGTAATCCCAGCATTTTTGGAAAGTGAAGCAGGAGGATCATAAATTCAAGCCCAGCCTAGGCAATTTAGCAAGATCATGTCGCAAAAAATAAAAAAAAAAAAAAAAGGGGCGGGTAGCCAGGCGTCATGGTGCACTCCTGTAATCCCAGCACTCGGGAGGCTGAGCCAGGAGGATCACTGTGAGTTCAAGACCAGCCTGGGCTACATAGTGAGTTCCAGCTCAGCCTCAAAAACCAAACAAAACAAAAAAAAGGGCTGGTGATAAAAGTCAGTGCAAAGGCACTGGGTTCAATCCCCAGCACTGGGGTAAAAAGAGCACTGGGGAAGAAATAGGGGTCATGCTCTTAGAATATAAAACAAATCAAGTTCCTTGACTCTTAGCACCTCCACACATGGGGACATCTGGCTCTCTGCCTGAAGGGGTGGCCTAAGACACCGACTGTCACTCTGGAACACTATTCTGGGCCAGAGCAGGCAGTGTACAAGATAAAGATTCACATACAAGATAAAGATTCCAACAATCCGGACCAGTGGTGGAAAACCGATGGCACATGTGTTACTGCGTTTTTCTTTTAAGACAAAAGATGTTAATGTATGAGTTTTTTTTTTTTCCAAACTAAAATCTCAGTGTTCAAGTTTAATTGCAGTGTCGGCACTTTGTGCGTTTTAGATAAATAAATGCGTTTTAGATTTCAGCTTGGCACTTGTAAAAGGTTTGCCATCACCGATTTAGACTACAGATTCCTAGTGTGTTTATCTGAGTTCACAGAACAGCCACCAGCAGATCTGAAAATACGTAAGAATGGTATGAGATTGCCAGCATTTTTTGCTAAATAAAAACATTTAATTATTATCAGCAGCATTTCATAAAGAGGAAATTCAATACCAAATATGTAGGAAATACATGGCCAGGTATGGTGGTGCACATGCCTGCAACCCCAGCACTCAGAAGGCTGAGGCAGGAGGACTGCAGTAAGTTTGGGCCAGGCTGGGCTACACAGTGAGTTCAAGGCCAGCCTGAATTGCATAGCAAGACCCCACCTCAAAAAACCTAAATAAATAAATGGAAAGGCAGATCTTCCCAAAGAAAGGCAGCTGGCAACTTTACAATGACAAATTAAAAAAGATTATGTTTGAAGATATACATATATAT